TTACTGCATTAGGTAAATCTGCTGCCAAGGACTTCTATAAGGTGTTAAGGAACAATGATGTCAGTTTAAAGACAAAGGTACATCTGATTCAAACCATGATCTTTTCAATTACTTGTTAAGCCTCTGAAAGTTGGACAATAACTAACAATAACAGAAGAACAGAGATGCCTTTGAGTAGTGGTGTTGGAAAAGAGTACTCCATATCTCATGGACTGCCAAAAGAACAGACAGATATGTCTTAGACAAAGTGCAGCCATGGTGCTCCTTGGAAACAAGGATGATGAAGTTCATCTCACATATTTTTGGCATGTTTTTAGGAGGGACCAGTCCTGGAAAAGGACATTTTGCTTAGAAAAATGGAGAGTCAGTGAAAGAGAGAAAGATCCTCAATGAGGTGGATTGGTACAATAACTGTAACAACAAACTCAAGTAGGAGATAATGAAGATGGCACAGTGTAAGATTCAGACCCATTGTTTGTAATTCAGATCCATCGTTCATAAAGTCTCTATGAGTCTGGTCAACTCAAGGGCACCGAACAACAAGTAACATAGTTCTCTGCTATTGGTGGATGATAGGGTAAGGTTCAGATCTGTTGTTCACAGATTACTATGAATCATAGTCAACTACATAACAACACTAGTATAACCCATAGGGAGCTCTGATGAGTGATAAAGAGTTGTGCTGCCAACTCAAAATCATGCAGTCCCAATCCATCAGCTGCTCACAGGAGAAAGATGAGAAATCTGCTCCTGTGCAGTTTCCAACTGTGAGAAGCCAGTTCCTGATCAAATGCTTGATCAGGAACTACAGAAGGCACAAAACAGGGTGGTATTTCTTTTGAGATAGATCACAAGAGATAGGAAGTCAGGCAGACCTGAGGCGCCTCCACTATTCTCAACCTTTCACTCGTTAGCCACTTTTTCCCTGAGATAAGCATCAGAAGGTCAGCAAAGAAAAACATAGCCAATTAGTAGTTTTTTCTGTGACTTCTCTCCTGGCAATTTTCTTTTTTTTTTTTTCTTTTGGCAATTTTCAATAAAAGCAAGAGAGACAAGTAAGCTCAGGGCGGCAGCAGTTTTGGAGTTGTACACCCCCTGCCTTGACTCTCTCTATTCCGCCCCCCCCCCCCATTTCTTAGTGTGCCTGTCTCGTTCATTCGTCCCAGGTGACAACATACAATCACTGAAAACCTACTGGAGGGTCAGCTGTGAGTTGATTCTGACTCAATGGCAGCCAGTCACCCACATGATCTAGTGCTCTGTTACTGGCTCGTGACAGGGCAAGGTTCAGATGTATATAGGGTCGCTATGATGGCACCTAACTACAAGAGTGACATAGTTGTAGGGAGCTACTGCTAACATTAACATGGTGGTTCTCACTGGTTCGAATCTACCAGTGGCTCCTTGGGGGAAGAAAGATGGAGAATCTCCTCTTGTGTGATTTACAGTCTCTGAAAACCCACTAGAGTGTCAGCTATGAATCAGTTCCGACTTAACAGCAATGAGATGATGATGAGATAAATACATGGAGTTGGGAGCTCTCGTGACATCATCTGTAGAGAGTTGTACTGCTAATCCAAAGCTGGTTTGATTCCACCAGAGGTTCCTTGGGAGGAAAAATAGGCAGTCTCCTTCCATAGGCTGTCTCTGAAAACCTGCTCACAGCTATGAGTCGGTCATAAGAAGTTGCTTTTTGTTGGTTTATTTTTGGATGGTGGGTTTTTTTGGTTTGTTTGGTTTTGGGTTGTAAGAGTTTGAACACCTCCACTGCACAGAAAACATGCAGGCCGAGGATAACTTCAGCATTGTCAGATCACAAGTGTATTTCCTTACCCTTTTCTTTCATGGTCTATAAGCAGCTTTTGACTTAGCAGATCCTACCTCCTCCATGACTGCTTCCTCCCCTACTTCCAGGATACCACATACCCCACCACTGCTGCCAGCCCCCGTAACCCTCATCTCTGCCTTCCTCCTCCTACACTGACTCTCTCTTTTCAATCTCCTTGCTGGCTTCTCCTTTTCTCCCCAGCTCTACAAGTTGATAGCTGTTTTTATGTGCTATTGAGTCACTTGTGACTCATAGTGACCCTGTGTACAAAGCTCTGAACCCTGCTCTAGCCTGAACCAAACTCACTGTCTCTGACACACCTAACGCATTACCCCAGTTACTGTATTAATCTATCTCCTCTAGGGTCTTCCCCTCTTGAACTGTTCCTCCACTCTTCCAAATATGATGTCTTTCTCCAAGGAAAAGGACTGGTCTCTACAACATGCCCAAAATATGTTAGACAAAGTTTCACCAGCCTTGTATCTAAGGAGGACTCTGGTTGCACTTCCTCCCAGGCACCTTTTCTGTTGGATATATAAATGATTTGGTGCAGCCACTGAGGAGAGGTGTAGCCTGGTAGTTAAGAATAGGCTCTGAGCTTGATTCTTGGTTCTGTCATCAACAATGTGGCCTTGAAGTCTCTAGTTTTCAGCACTGGACTGATAGGTAACATCATAATCGATGGAGAAGAGATTGAAGTTGTCAATGATTTTATCTTATTTAGATCCACAGTCAATACTTTTTGTATCAGTGGTCAGGAGATCAGAAGATGTATTGCACTGGGAAAGTCTACAGTCAGAGCCTTCTCCAAATTACTGAGGAGCAAGGATGTCAGTTTGAAGACTAAGAAGCACCTGATTCAGGCCATGGTCTTTTCAGTCATTCGCTATGGATCTGAAAAGTACACAATGAATATGGATGACAAAAGAACAACTGATGCCTTTGAGCTGTGGTGTTGGAGAAAAAACTGAGTATCCCATAGAAAGCCAAAAGAACAGATAGACACATCTCAGCAAAAAGTACAGCCAGAATGCTCCTTGAAGGCATAGAAGACAAAGCTTTGTTTTACATACTTTAGGTATATTGTTAGGAGAAGCTTGGAAAGAGATATCATGATTGGTGAGATGCAGAATAGGTGAAAGAGAGGAAGACACTTAATGAGATAGATTGACACAATGGCTGTAGCAATGGGCTCAAGTGTGTCAGAAATTATGAGGATTGTACAGGACAGGATAGGGTTCAGATCTGCTATTCATAGGGTTGCTGTGAGCCATACTCAACTTGAAGGCACCTAATACTAACATACTTCAGTTTAGGGATTTCTGGTAGTGAAGTGGCTTAGTGGTAAGGAACTTTGTTGTCAACCCAAAGTACATGGTTCAAATCCACCAACTGCACCATGGGAGAAAGATGGGCATTCTTCCTGTGTGATTTACTGCCTCTAAAAATCCATTGGAGTGTCAGCTGTGGGTCAGTTCCAACTTGATAGTACTCAGCAACAACAACAAGAAGAAAGCTGTGGTGTAACCCAAGGCCACATCTCTCTTCTAGATGTTCAAACCTACTGGTCACTCAGCTGAAAAAGGTAAGCAATTTTCTCCTGTGTGATTTATAGCCTTGGAAACTCAGTGGAGGTCAGCTGTGTCAGGGCAATGAGTTTTTTAGTTTGATAGCTCGGTTTTATAATCTTTAATATAGTAGAAGGGGTAGTAAAGAGTACTTACAGAGTTATCAACCAAAATCAAACTCACGGCTGTGAAAGTTGATTCCAGCTTATGACCCTATAGAAAAGAGTGGAACTACCTTATAGGGATTCTGAAGTTGTGGATCTTTTTAAAAGAAGCTGCCTTGTATTTCTTACACAGATCAGTTGCTGGGGTAGTATTCCAATGCTTAGCCCACTATGTCATTAGAGTTCCTTTGTAGTGAAGATGAGATGTGTTCACACATGCAAAGTGTTTAAATCAGTGTTTGGCTCACAGTAAACCCTTCTCCAGGCTCTTTCAACGATTCTCAAACAATCAATGTTGGAGACACCCAGTGATCACATCAAAGGGTTTCAGGGCAGCAGAAATTATGCAGGCAGCGCAGGCTGCTGCACAGGATCTGTTGTACTTAAAGTTGCTCCCTGTTGTTGAAGAGACTCAACGGCTCCATCCTTTGTCCACCTTTGCATTCTCATCCAATCCTGTAGCTTTAAATATCTTCTATAAGAGAACTCTGGTGGTGTAGGCAATTGCACTATTAAGCCAAAGATGGCAATCTGAATTCACCAGTGACTTCTCTGGAAAGACAGGCAGTCTCTCATGAGATTTACAGCGTCCAAAAAACACGTAACTGGTGACTCATCTATCTATGAGTCAGTTCTGATCTGACAACAATGAGCCATGAGTTTTTCAAGTTTGATATCAAACAAAAACTCCAAAAGAAGTGGACTTGACTCTTGCTCGGCGGTAGGTCCCCCCATGATTTGACTCATGAAGCCTTTTAAAAAAAGTATTTGTTTAACAAGCTAATGAACAAAACCTTATACAGATGATTACTTGGGGCAAATCTGGACAATGTTCTTCAACCCTCTCCAAAAGTCTCCTTCAGGATCTAACATTTAAACGCCTCGGAGGATTAAAAATAATTGGCAGTCAAAAACTGAAATTCTAACTTTGGGGTTCTATTTTATTACATCCTAGGTAACCCAGTGGTAAAGAATTGCGCTGCCTGCCAGTCCAGAGACAAGCAGTTCGAGTCTACCAGATGCCTCTCAGGAGACAGATGAGCAATGCCCTCTGCTACGATCTATAGCCTCTGAAAACCCGCTAGTGGGTCACCTACGAGTCAGTTCGATTCCACGGTACATGATGGCAACAGGTGCCAAAAGGTGCGCGATCTACCCCATCTACGTAACCAGGCGACCAACTTTAGTCAGTAGTTTAGTGAACAGACTCGAGTTCTACTTCTATATCCTAAGTGTCCAGCTACCCGTCCCTTACCCGCCCGCTTTGCCCCTCAGTGCGCAGGAGGTGCGCGGGGTCCGGGTGAGGTCTGGCTCCTGGATCCACGCCCTCGGGGCCGCCTGTAGGGCCAGGGAGCGCGCGGGGCGGGGTTCCGAGGCCGCTGGGCGGGAGCGCGCGGTCCACCGCCCAGGCCGCCCCTCGGCCGCCTCAGCGCGCTCACCATGGCGGCCCCCTCGCCAGGACCGCGGATATGGCCGCTGACAATGCTGGCCCTGGTTTGGGCGCTGGCTTCGGGGCTCCCCACAGTCTGGGCCGGGCAAACGCTGCGCCCCGCCGAGCAAGGTCCGCCAGTGCGGCTGTTCACGGAGGAGGAGCTGGCTCGCTACGACGGGGAGGAGGTAGGCGGGGCGGCGCAGCGCGGCCAGGCCGTGGGGGCCCTGCGCACACTCCGGGGCTGCGCGCGGAAATGGCGCGCGCGCGCGCACAGGGACTCGGGCTCGTTCCTGATCTTCCGGCAAGGAGGCCTGCAAGGAGGCGCGGCCCGCTGGGGCGCTGTCTCCTGGCTCCAGAATCGGGAACTCTGCCCCTGAGCAGGCCTAAGAAGTGGACTGCTGTGGGCTCCTGTGTAGGCCTGATAGTTTAGGATTTAAGAGTCCCTAAAATTCCACCACCAAGGACATCCCATTGTCCCACCCATGCGTTTACCTTCTCTTTTCCTAGGAGTTTTCTTCGGAAAGCTTTCTCCTTTTAGCTAATGGTTTCTACATGAGGCTCAAAACATTTTTCAGTTTTTAATATTAGCATCAACTGAGGCACTTTGGGAGCTCTGGTGGCCTACTTGGCAGAAGGTTAGAACTACCAGCAGCTCTCAGAGACAGGCAGTCACCTCCCATGTGATATCCTGCCTCTGAAAACATGCTGGAATGTCAACTATGAGCTGATTCAGACAAGACATAACAACAAACGGGGGCACCACTTTAGCCAGCTCACGGAGGGTAGGGGGAATGGAGTGGCAAGGTGGGGTCTCAGAGCTGGATTTGGTATTCCTAATAAACGCCTCCTTCTGGGGATAAGTGAGATTTGGGATAGGCCCTCTGGCTTTCTCGGCAACCAATTTTTCCTAACCTAATTTAAATCCCCTTGCCTTTGGAGCTGAGACCAAACTAAACCAGAGCTGAATCACTTTGGGCTTGGAGTAGATGATGAGGTTGTTGTTGTTATGTGCTGGCGAGTTGTTTGTGACTCATAGCGACCCTATGTACAACAGCCCTAAACCCAGCTCTACCCTGTACCAATTTTATTGTCCCTGATACACCTATCCCCATTACCCCAGTCACTGAATCAATCCACCTCATAGAGGGTCTTCTCCTCCTGCGCTGTCCCTCTACCCTACCAAGCATGATGTCCCTCTACCCTACCAAGCATGATGTCCCTCTCCAAGGACCTGTCTCTCCTTACAACATGTCCAAAGTATGTCAGACGAAGCCCCAGAATCCTTGCCTCCAAGCAGTAGCCTTGTTTAACTCTCTCTAGGATGGATCTGTTTGTTTTCTTGGCAGTCCATGGAACATTCAATACTCTTCTCCAGCACAACAGCTCAAAAGCGTCAATTGTCCTTCTATGCTCCCTAGTCATTGTCCAACTCTCTGATGCATAACAAGTGATTGCAAAGACCATGGCCTGTCTCGGGCACACCTTAGTCTCCAGAGAGACACCGTTGCTCTTGAGTACTTTAGAGAGGTCCCTAACAGCAGACTTTCCCATCTCAATACGTTTTTTAATTTCCTGGCTGCTGGTGCCAAGAGTGTTGACTGTGGAGCCGAGCAAACTGAAGCTGTGAACAATCTCAATCTCTTCGCCATCCATCCTGAT